TAATAGATCAGGTGACCATCTGACCACAGGTCAAACCAATTCTTCTTCCAGCGCTTCAAAATAGTACCTGGGAAAAAGGAGCAAATACCGGCTTTGAGCGGAAAAGAGACTTTGTCCTCTAATTCACAGGTAACAGAAACAAAGGAAACTTTCCTCCCGCCCCAAAAGTGCATAGAAGCAAGCAAAGCAGCCCACCGGAATGAAGCGAAGGCAGACCCCACCCAGCAGCACGAACACCACGCTCGACCAGGGCTGCTGGACACTGCAAACGCTGTCAACGTGGAAGTCCCAAAACATTACCCAAAAAATTCAATAAACCCTTGATTTTGAGCTAAGGAGATATGTCTAATATTAACTCTCCATGTGGTACATCTAAACTTTCCCAGCAGTACCTAAGTTTGCCAGACTGATCAGAAAACATCGGACTGTAATGTATCTACATACAAATAACAATACCTTCCTCTTCTGGAAAAATGTCTTTCTCTTTTTCTTGAAGAGCATTCACATATACTCTTCACCAACCCGCCCCTTCCCTTGAAGCCTGCAGTGCAGGAGGGTCTCCCTGCCAAAGGCTGATGCAGTGGCAGCCTCAGACACTGGACACGTCCACACCAGGACACTGACCCTGGCCCAGGCTGACTCCCACTCTGCATGCCTCCGTCCTACTGCCCCACTGTCTCTACCAGCTGGAGAGAACTCACCCTTTCACTGTATGTTTGTATGTTTGTATGTATGTATGTATGTATGTGTGTGTGTATGTGTGTGTGTGTGTGTGTGTGTTTATATATGTATCTATTTCTACTGAAGTGCAGTCAGTTCACAATGTTGTGTCAATTTCTGGGGTACAGCACAATGCTTCAGTCATATAGAAACATATATATATTCCGTAAGTTACTAAGATAATGAATATAGTTCCCTGTGCTATACAGTAGAAACTTGTTATCTATTTTATATATAGCAGTTAGTATCTGTAAACGTCAAACCCCCAATTTATCCCTTCCCACTCCTGTCCCTGCTTGATAACCATAAGTTTATTTTCTACATCTGTGAGTCTGTTACTGTTTTGTAAATAAGTTCGTTTGTCTTTTTTTTTTTAGATTCCACATGTAACTGATATCATAGGGCATTTTTCTTTCTCTTTCTGGCTTACTTCACTTAGAATGACAATCTCCAGGTCCATCCCTGTTGCTGCAAACGGCATTTGTATTCTTTTTTATGGCTGAATAGTATTCCACTGTAGAAATATACCACAACTTCTTTATCCAGTCATGTCGATGGACATTTAAGTTGTTTCCATGTCTTGGCTATTGTAAATAGTGCTGCTATGAACACTGGGGTGCATGCATCTTTCTGAATTAAGGTTCCCTCTGGATATATACCCAGAAGTGGGATTGCTGGATCACAGGGTAAGTCTATTTTCAGTCTTTTTAGGACTCTCCACACTGTTTTCCATAATGACTGCACCAGACTACATTCTCACCAGCAGTGTAGGAGGGTTCCCTTTCTCCACACCCTCTCCAGCACTTATTGCTACATGGACTT